CCCCCCCCGCGGCCCTGGACAAAGGGCGGGAGATTGGACCGGCTCGGGGCAAAAGTGCGCGCCCAAGTCAGCCGGCCCCGCCCCGCTTGTCTCGCCGCCTGAAGCCGGCGCGTGCCCCCCGCCCGTGTGCACTGGAACAAGGCTGCGGGGCCGGCAACCGGGCGAATGATTCGCCCAGGGCGTGACCAGGCCCCGCTGTGGTGCGCGCACGCCCCACTTCGCGCGCCCGCAGCCGCCCGGGCCAGCGGCCGCACATAAGGAAATTCAGCCCGCCCGACAGGAGTGGAGCCGCCCCGAGCGGACGGCACCGCCGGGCACCAGGGACCCGGCTGTCCGGAAGCCCCCCACAGCGCTTGGGTACGGACACCGGTCGCCTCAGTTTCACCGGCCGACAGCCGCCCGGGGGGGGGGGGAGCCGGGTGGCGTGGCGCCCCCCCCCCCCCCCCCGGGGGAGAGCCGTGAAGGGAAGGGCGGCCCGCCCAACCGACCCGGGCGTAAGCGTAATTCCGGAGGTCAACCCCCAGGCCCCGTGCGCGCCCGCGTGCGGCCCCCGCGTGCCAGCCCCGGAAATGACGTCCAGACCCGGGTAGCCTGGGCTCCCGGTCGGAGCCTGGGCTCGGCCCGCGGGCGGAGGGTCGTCGCGTGCAGGGCACGGGAGACACGCGCACACCTCCCCAGGGCAGCAGCCAGGCCCAGGGGGGGGGGGGGGGGGGGCGAGGGCAAGCGGGACCAAAGTCCCCAGCATACCTCAAATCTGACGCCCAACACAGGGTGGTGAGATGGTCCGCGCCACCTGGGGCTTTCCCCGTCTGTGGGATATATGATATATTATAATGGGAGCTCTTTTGCGGGGAAAAGATCATCTGTCCGTCGGGGGGACTTTTGCGCCCGCTCGGCCGGAGAGCATGGAGCAAACGAACCCGAGGCGAGGGATGGGCTCCGACACATCTCCATCCGGAACGAACGCACAGCCAGGCACTCCCGCCAGGGAGAGGGGCAAGGCGCGGCGCGACAAGCCCAACCAAGGAATGCATGTTCGCCGGGCGCAGGCAAGGAGCCCTCGTAAGTCGGGGCCCCCGGAACAGGGAATGTCATTCCGCCACATCACGACAGAGAATCAGAAGCTGACCTTCGTAGCGCGAATCCACCCGGACCGGGCCGTCGGAGAATTCAGCACACTGGCGGGCACGTGTGTCAGAATCACAAGCCACCATGCTGCGGGCCCGAGGGCAGACCAGCGCCACCGCGTTGAGCACACGCACCAACTCATAGCCCTCGAGTAGGGCCGGGTCCAGCTGGCCCAGGCGCCGGAGGAGCCCCTCGTACAGGACAACGAAGGAGGGCTTGCGACCGGCGAAAACTTCGGCCTCCATCAGGGAGGTGGCCGTCTGCAGGGTCTCGGCCGAACTGCCGGCCGAGAAGAGGAGATCCGTCTCGGGACGGTACCCGGCCCCTGCGGCCACGGTGACGAAGATGTTCCCCGGGGCATCGGCATATGGGGAGGTGGAGCCGCGCAGGGGCGCCCGCGAGCCGGGGACATCCATGGCCGCCCGGCGGCGGAGGGAGGCCACGAAGTCCGGTGACAGGGCTTCCTCCGGCAGGGGCGGCTCGCAGGTGGTGAAGCGCACGGGCGTGCCGCGCATGTCGCCCAGGTACGATGCCAGCGGTGTCAGATGGCAGGGAGTCAGCATGAGGATGCCCTCACTGTGTAAAGGGGGCCCGACCGATGGGTGGGTTAGTTTCCGGAGCGCAGGACTCAAGCGGCAGCATGCCCTCCCCGGCGGCCTTTCAGTCCCTCGCCCCCCCCGCCCCCCCTCCTCTGGACTCTCGTTGTAGCGCACACCCCGGAGGAGCGCACCTGCCAGGAGCCATGCGTCGGAGGAAGAGACTGGCTCCGATCGGGGCGGCCTGGTGAATGAAGCCGAAAAAGAGGAAGGCCAGCAGGTTGGCCAGGAGGCCGGCCATCACCAAGCCGCCGGCCAGGAAGCGCGACCGTGGCGCCGGGGATGTTGCCTCGCTGTGGGCGAGCACGGGTCCCGGGGCCAGGCCGTCGACCAGGCGTTCCATGCCGGCTCCGGCCACCGCCAGACAGGCCGGCACCACGGGGAGAATGAAGCTGGGCAAGCGGTCAGCATCTTGGATCTGCGGCGCGTGCGCTCCCGGTCTCCGTGTCCCTCCCCTGGCCGCTTGCCGCGCCCTTCGCGTGCCACCGGTCCGGCATGCACCACCCGACGCACCGGTGCTCCTTATGTGCAAGCAGCGAATGTACGACCACAAAGAAAATCGCCGGCGTCAGGAGCCAGCCAATGCGCCGGGCAAACGGGTCTCCCGGAGGGCGGGCCAGGGCACCGGCGACACCGGCCGCAAGGGGCACCAGCCACACGCCCACCACCACGGTTATGCCCTCAGTCCAATACCACAGCCACCCGTGGACCCCGTAAAAGGAGGACAGCGAGAGGGTGAAGTTGAAGCGCAGGAAGTTCAGCAGCGTCGGCCTCCAAGACCAAAGCTGCGCCAGCCCGGCGGCTGCCTCGCCCGGTCCGAGGAAGTGCTCGGCCGCCAGGGCATACAGCCGCCGGTCAAGCTGGGCGTTCAGCGCGAAGACCGTCATGCTGGGCAGCGGTGTGTGCGCGTGTGTGGGTCCGGCAGGGGGAGGCAGACGCGAATGGCTATGGTCAGCAGGCGGGCTCACATGTGCGCACTCCCCGAGGGGCCGAGGGAGGGGAGGTGGGGGGGGGGGGGGGGGGGAAACAGCACAAGCACTGGCCATATATCGCACCCGACCAGGGTACACAGCAGTACCCAGCCAACGGCCAGGCGTCGTTTGGCCGAAAGACCGCCTCGTGCCGTGGACACGAGACTAGCCAGCTCCACCAGCCCCAGCGGCAGGCAGTAGACCAGGGCCGTGGGACGGACGGCCGCCGCCAGGGCAGCCAGCGCCAAGCCCGGCACATAGCGAGTCCCACGGGCCGGAGTCTGGGCGCAAGGCCACAGGGCCAGGGCCCACGCGAGCAGACACGTCTCCAGCGAGTTCCCCAGGGTCCGGGTGAGGGCATAGCCATTGAACCAGAGTCCAACCGAGAAGAGAAGCTGGCCGGGTGTGCGCCATCGCACGGGCTCGTGTCAGGACGTGCAGTAGGGGAGGGCGGGGCGGAGGGGGGTGGCAGAGGGGGCAAGCAGGCAGGTCAGGCAACCGGCGCACCGCCCAACGTCCTGCGGCCCGGGAGAAAAGGCGACTCCCAAGGCGCCAAGTGGCCATGTCCGTGGCAAAGGCGATGAGACCCTGCAGGAGCCGGGGGCCGAGGATCTGCTCGCAGGGCATCCGCCGGTGGTTAGCACCACATCGACATCTTCTCTGGGCACAAGGAGAGAAGCGTACCAGAAGGCGCGTGCCCTCGAGGCCGAGTTTCCCAAGTAGAAAGTACACGCAGGCGAAGAGGCCCGGGTGAAGCCAGCCACGTAGGCGCGTGGCTGTCCACTCCCAGGTCAAATTGCCCGATGTGTGGGGTTCCAGGAGAGGGGGGGGGGTCAAGCAGGGGAGTCAAGGCAACAACCGGGGATTTGTCTGGCGGGCGAGGCGGCGAGTGGGCAGCGGTGCATCGGGTGGGTCGGACTCTCTTTCCTGCGAGCGGCGGAGGCGAGCGGATGTCGGCTCGCCTCTCGCATCGCACGATGTCAAGCAAGAGGGAAGGGGGGGGGGGGCGAATGGCGAGCCACCATATGGCGTGGGCAGGATGAGTGACGACATCCTGCCTACTGGCCTCCGGGAGCTCTGCCAGTCTTCGAGGCGCTGAATGTTGCGCGCATCTGAAGCCACAGGGCCCGCCATATGGGGGGTTGCCTTGCCTTGCCTTGCCTTGCCTGCTTCTCCTGCCCAGACATCGTATCGACATCGGCTCGGGGCGGTCGTGTCACGCGCTCATTCAACGGGGGGGAGGGAAGGGAGCGAGGGGAGGCTCGGGATAAAGAACTGCCGGGGGGGGGGGGGGAGGTGTGGCACAAGCAAGGATATCCAAAGGCGAGGAAGTAGGCCGGCTCGAGGGACTGCCAGAACTCGTCCGGGCTGAAGGCTGTTCGTTGGAGAAGAGCCTGCGCCAAGCGCAGGAGCAGGACAGCAGCCAGAAGGTGCCGAGTCGAAACCAGCGGGGCACCGCACGGGACAGCGGCTGAGGTCGCAGGGGGTGCCGGGCCAGAGATGGTTGGCGCTTCATCCGCGTTGCCGGTGGGCGGCCGCAGGGCGGCTCGCTGGCGGCGGAGCAGAACCGATTTGGGTGTGCCCATGGCCGGCAGGGAGGCAGGGATGCCGATTGTGTATGGGTGTCGCGCGCGAGGGCTGAATGCGGAAGACCGACGGAGGGGCGGAAGGAGGGCGGGAGAGGGCGAGAGGAGAGCTCACTGCGGCCGGGCCCGGGCCTCGGCCCCTTGTCAAGCACCCCCCGAAGAGTCTTCGCAAGGAATGTATATCCGCCGGCTGGCCGATCGCGTGTGTCCGATCGTTGAGGTGGGCCCCCCCAGGCCCTGCACCCTCGAGCAGTTGGCAGATCGCGCCCAACGCACAGTGCATGCTCATTCGTTGCCGCACGCAAAGAACCCGCTCCGTCTCGCCCCGCTTGTGACCGGGAACAAAGGCCCTGCCAGGGGGAGGTAGGTACAAATGACCGGACCGGATGTCGCTGTGGTGTATTCATGGCGCAGATGCCAACGGTGGGGCCCGGCCTCACACCCGCGCCGGGGGCGGGTGTGCCAACAGGAGCTGGTTCATGTCCTCGAGCGCGGCGCCGATGGCCTCATTCATGTCGGCCGCACGGGCGTAGCCCGACAGACAGGCCACACTGAAGCGAAGCGAGTCCGCCTGCACCAGGTACGGGATGCCATACCCCTGGTCGCAAACCTGGCCCCAGCCGTAGCCATTAACAGCTGGGCTAACCAGCTGCGAGGTAGACAGGGTCCACTGCCGCGAGGCATCCAGGATGGCGCTCTCCAGGAAGGGGTCCGTCTCACCAGGCTCGAGCACATACTTGAGTGCTGTGTGTGTGTGTGTGTGAAAGTAAATGTCCAATGTGTGTTGCACGTTAGTGTCGGGGTAGCCTGCGTGATGTGTTTTCCTTCCTGTTCATTGCCCCCCCCCCCCCCCCCCGAGGCACGATCGGCCAGGGGGGACTAGTGTAGGGCCGAGCAAAGGGCGATCAGACAGGTGAAGATGGCCGGAGCCAGTGGCGCAGTACGGACCCGAAAGGTGCCGATCAAAGCCGGAGCCCTCGACCACGGCCCGGGTGGTGGTAGCATGCCTACGGAGGGCATTATCCAGGAGGTATGCCCGGACCTCGGGCTGGCTCGGCCAAGGTGGGGTAAGGGGAGAAAAAGGGCAAGCGAGAGGAAAGAGGGTCAGGGGCCAAATCGGCGGCGGCGGCGGCGGCGGCAGCGGCAGCGGTGGCACGCACATTGAAGGTGTCATCCATCATGGCCGTCGTCCACATGACCGACTCGTGGCTGACCGTGCGGATGGCTTCGGTCCGGCCACCGGCGAAGAGACGCGTTTGGCCGGTCTCGTATGTGGAGCAGGCCATGCCATGCAGACGCCGGTAGGCCAGCTGCATGGCCATCTGCACAAAGGCATCCGGACTCTGGTGCAGGCGCTTGCTGATGTGCGCCGAGCCGAAGCCCCGGAAGTCGAACTGCCGCATGTCCCGGCGCCCGGCGTCCTCCCGCACGGCCGTCGCCGCGGTGGTGATTTGTGCGCGCAGGTCGTCGGTCAGATCGAAGTCCAGATGCCGGGGAGCCCGCAGGGAGCTGGTGGCCAGAGTGCCGGATGTCGCCCCGGTCGGGTCGAAGCCCAGCGCCTGGGCCTCATTCAGTCGATCGGCGCCCTGTCCGCGTCCGGTGGCGGCTTCGGCCACGCGGATAGAGGTCGAGCCATCGGCCAGGGAGTGCTGCAGGAGGGATGGCGGCGCGTGTGCGTGTATGGATGGATGCAAGTGTGCATGCATGTATACGTGCGTGTGTGTGCGTGTGTATGTGTGAATATGTTTGCCATGGTGCATGCAGTTAGGTATATGGCCCCATATATGTGCGTATGTGAATGCGGGAGCACTCGCGGCACGCCATGGCGGGTGCCACTGCCAGAGGGACAGGGTCCTTGTAGGGGATGCTCGCCGGGAGCAGGCCAGCGCACCTCGTTGATATGGCCGGCCTTGCCATTGGCGAAGCAGATGATCTGGACGCTGTGATCGTAGAAGCGGTTCCGGCCGTCGCTGTGCCAGATTTCCCGACACACCTGGTCCGGCGTGTCGGGAGATGTATCATCGAGGCAAAGCACCAATGCGGCATTCCGCACGCACGCCAGGTGCGCGGCATTTTTGGGTGAAGCTTGCTCCAGGAGGTCGAGCCCCTGGTTGATTGGCAGCGGTGGCGGGATGTCAGCAAAAGAACAGCGCATAGGCCGGTGAAGAGACGGTGGTTCGTGGGCGTGTGTGTACCTTCGCGCTTTGGTCCCGGTCGATGGCCGTCAGCAGGCCGATGGGATACTTGGCCGGGCCCAGTTGGCCGGCGCGCTCGGTGATGGTCTCGAGCGATCTGCGGTTGGGGAGGAGGTGCGGCCCGGGGAGTCAGCACTTGCAAAGTCATGGCAGTGATGTGGTGGTGTCTCTTTTTTTTTTCCCTACTCCCCCAGACGGAAGGCCCGGGGCTGAGACATACTTGGCCAGGGTCGACTCGGGGAACATAACCCCGGTATCTGGGCAGATGAGGTCCAGGTGGAAGACGTGGCCCCCGCGCAAAACCACCAGCCCAAGGTGGTTGCCTGGCACCGCGCGGTCACGCTGCACAAAGGTGTCAGCTCCGGGGCGCGGAATGCGGCAGCTATTGAGCAGGTGGTGGAACTGCAGCATGCACAGGGGCTTGCCATCGCGCGTATACTCCGCCGGATAAAGCTTCCTGTGATGGCGGACACCGGGGCCGGGGGACGGAGAGTGTGCCAGCGGTGGGCGAGGAGGTAAGGGGCAGAGGCCAGTCAGCACAGGGACAGTCCCTCCTCCGGAGGGGGGAATCTGCCACAGGAGCAAGGCGGGGCCCGGGGGCCCGGGGTCAGGGGCACCGAGGGTACGCACTGGTCCAGAGCCCAGCGGAATTGGAGGGCACGGTGCGCGAGGCTGGCCGCCCGGGCCAGGGGGGTCCGGAAGGATTGGTCATCCGTGTACGAGTAAAAGTAGCTGACATTGGTGGGAAGCGAGGCCCGGGGCTGGAAGTAGGCATGCTGGTTCCAGAAGCGCAGGAACCAATTGTTCCCGGGCTCGGTCTGAGCCAGGCGTTCAAGTCGCGCATGGAGCTCCGGCCCCAGGCCATCCTCATCGGTGAAGGTCTCGGCGAGGGGCTGCATCTTCGATCAGTACTTGTGTCGGTAGGGCACGTCCGGTGCAAGCGCCTGGGCGGAAGCGGGAATACGCACAACGACCTCGGCCACGGCGGCCGGGCCGAGAAGGGCGTCCACATTGCTCAGCACCCCGCGCACGGACTGCTCGAGCCGGTGCAGGGGGAGCGGCGGCAGGTGCGACTGGGCCTTCCAGAGAGGGGTCAAATCGTCGCGAGGGAGGACCCGCGGGTCGGCCGGGACAAAGTGCGACGCGGGCAGGGACCCCGCGGCTGGCGCCCCGGCGGTCGTGGTGGCCAGCCCCTACGGCAGAGGAGAGAATCCCATGTCGCGACCGACAAAGCTGGAGGTCAGAGGAAGGGGTATTTGCGTGCTCGAGTTCCTGGCCCAGGGGCAAGGGAGGCAAAAAAAAAGAAGAGGGAGTGAGGGTGCCGTACGCGAATGGCGCACTGTGCGGCGCCCGGGCCGATGAGGGTGCGGGCCGCCCTGGCGGGCCCAGAAAGTACGCGCGAAGCCCGCGGAAGGCGATGCATCATGGTGTGGAGGTAAGGGGGCGGGGGGGGGGGGGGGCAGGGGACGGGGAAGAGAGGAAGACAGCAAAAGAGGGGAAAGGGGCCGATGGTGCCGGCTCCGCGTTGGGGCCCTCTGTCGCTGGGCGTCGTTTTCACTGGGGACAAGAGGAACTCCCCTCCTGTCTCGGCCCCCTCGGTGATTGACCGGACCGGGGGGCGGGGGGGGGGACCACTCGGCAATCTAGTCCCTAGCAATGGTGGGAGCACCCGCGTCGAATTCGCACTGGGCGGCCCCCGCCGTGGGCCTAGACAGCCGGGCTCGACGTCGGCTCTCTCCTGCCCCCCCCCCCCGCGGCCGATCAGGCGCCCGCGGACATGGGCGGAGCTGGGCCTTAATTTGAAAGGGCCCAGTTAAAGCACCCCATCCAGGTGTCTGTGCGCTGGTGCCCCGTCCGTTGGGGCATTCCAATGGGCCGGTCGCTCGGGGCCGGGGCCTGTGTGCACCCGCTCCTGGCATCGCGGGAAGTGTCTCAGGCCTTGCCTCGTCCGGTCGGGCCTGCCCTTGTTTGGCCTCGTCTGTGGCCCAGGACCGGGAGGGGGGCTAGATCGGGCCTTGGCAGCAAGCCGGCCAGCCGACAGGAAAAGCAGCCCGAGCGCCACAACGCTGGAGTGCTTGGGCAATACCTTTCTCTCCTCTTTCTCTCCTCCTCTCCCTTCCGCCCTCTTCTACCTCCTCTTCCGCCGCCCTCCAGCCTTTTTTTTCCTTCCCTACTCCCCTTTGCCCCGGCTGTTGCCGCCGCCGCCGCCGCTGCTGCCGCTGCTGCTGCCGCCGCCGCCGCCGCCGGATGTCGCTCAACCCCTTCGACACTGTCAATCGGAGGGACGCGCCCGGAGCCGGGCGCTCCAATGTCCGAGACACCAATCCCTTTGGCGATGGCGCCACTCGGCCGGGCCCCGGGACGGGCTCCACACGCGACACCAATCCCTTCGACTCGCCACCCAGCGGGGCAGGCCGTCCCACTGGCGGGGGAGCGCGCGACACCAACCCCTTCGATGATGATGACGACGACGTCGTCGAGTCGGGCTTCTCTCAAGGGCGTCCATCGAGCGTCAGCACGCGTGACACCAACCCTTTCGACTCACCCTCGCGGATTCCCCCCCGGCCAGGGCTCAGTGCCTCCACGCCGGGGCCGGCCGCGGTCAATCCCTTCGACAAGCGTGAGACATCGCCCTCCCTTTCTAGCCCGGCTCCCGGTGCCGGAGCCACCGCGTCTGGTCGCCCGGGTGCCACGGCCGCGGCCACTGGGTCCACCTCTTCGTTGGCCTCGATCGGCAGCATGAGCGCCGTCGGTGCTGGAGGCGCTGCCGGCCCCCGGGGCGAGGCCTCTGCCGCCAGGCCCATCCGCCCGACGGCCACTTCCTCATTGTCGAGTCTTGCCGGCACGCCGCCCGGCAGCGGACTTGACCCGGCGCGGCCGGCTCCCGGGACCGCACAGCGCCCACCCCCCCTGGGGACGACTGCCACGCAGGTTTCCGAGCCGTCGACCAGCGACGAGCCGCCAGAGCTCGCCCTCCCGCGCGAGATCATCGACACATTTGGCGACCCGCATTTCGACGCGGACCAATGTACGGCTGCCGGGGCTCCCTCTTGTGTCCCCCTGTTATGGGGGCATTGCGCGCCTTCTCGATCCCGCTAACTCCCTGCCTGTCCTGGCCCTCCCCCTTGGGCACAATGGCCGCCAGTCATTTCGGACCGTCTGTACAACCACCTCTCCTCCGATGTGGAGAGTGTCTTCAAGGAGCTGTCCTCGAGTTCGGCCCTGGCGGTGACCCGCCTCCAAAGCTGCGTCTCCGGGCACTATCGCGAGTTCGTGTACACCTCGCAGGAGATGGGCAGTGCGTCTTTCCTTCCCTCCCCAGCCAATTGTCCCTCCCCCCCCCCTCCTCCCCGCCTCTACACGGAGCTCAGCATCGAGGCGTACACGACTAACACCCGGGCATCCGCATCCCCCTGCTCACCCTGCGCCCTTGTCATGGTGGCATAGTGCTCGAGCGTGATGTTGACAACTTGCGTCGGGATCTCTTTGCCTTGCAGGGGTCTGTCCGGGCCATCTCGCTGACCATCCAGGCGACCAAATTCCAGGCCTTCCGGCCGCGCCGGCCAGGTGAGGTGGGTCCCCGGACCAAGGCGCAGCTAGTGTCACCGGACTTGCCGAGTGCCGCGACCGGGTCTCACCGCCGCCAGCGTTCGGCTGTCATTTCGGCGGCCATTTCCCCGATCACCAATGCCCCGGCGTCGTTGGGCCGGCTTTTTGGCCTGGGTGCCTCCAGTCCAAAGACTCCGTCGGCGGCGGCGGTCGGTGCCAGCGCGGCGGCGGCCAGCGCGGCAGAGGCCTCCCGGGGGCCGGACACCCTGGCTACTCGTGGCGGGACCCTGCGCCGGGCGAAAACCCGCCGTGGGGGCGCCGGCGGAGCCGGCGGAGCCATGGCCGGCAGCGGCTGGCCCGGAGCCAGTGGGGCCTTCTTCGATCCGGATGCCCCGCTGTATGGCGGCGAGCTGGATGTCTCGCTGCTGACCCCGGGGCATGAGTTCCTTCTCCGGGAGATGGAGCTGACTGTGGTGCCGGATGGCAGGCACTTGTGGGATATCCCGGCGCGGCCGCATCGGCACGGGCCGCCGAGCACCCGATCCCCGACGGTCAGCTCGCCAGGGTACCGGGCTCCGGGCGCCCGCGCCACAGGGCACCCGGCTGGAAGTGACTCGGACGGGGGGTCGAGCATCGGTGGGCCAGGTGGCGCCGGGTCCTCGCCTTCTCCCTCCTCCGGCTGGGGCGGGTCTCCCTCACCGGGGTCGGTGTTCCCGTTGATCCGGTCTCCCTTTGCCCGGCTGTCCGGGGTCGGCGGTGCCGGTGGCAGTAGCGGCGGCCCGACCGGCGGCCCGGGGTCCGGGCCTTTGGATGTCGATGCGGCTGGAGCCCTCCTGGATGGGATGGCCATGCCGCGGTTGCCGGATGTCGTGCCGACCCTGCTGCTAGCCACAAATCTGTTGCTGGCTTCGCCGGATACCTTCGCCGTGGAGTCGGCCGGGCGATTGCTTCTCTTCGACTCGCATCTGGTTCTGGCTGTGGGCCTGCATGTGCGAGGTCCCGGAGACCCGAGCCCCGGCGAGTCCGCGGAGCCCGGGTCTGCCGGGGTTTCCGGGGAGCTGGGCGTCCCGGGTGGTCCGGGCGGCGGCGGCGGCGGCGGCGGCGGCGGCGGCGGCGGTGGCAGCAACGGCAGTGGCGGGGGCATGCACTCGGCCGCCGGCGCCTCGACCGCTGCCGCCGCCACCGCCGCCACCTCCGGCGGCACTCACTACGGTGGTGGCGGCCCCCCTGGCAGCGGCCACCGGCGGTCCAACAGTCCGGTTGGCGGGGCCGGCCTACGTCGGGGAGGCCCATCCGGGACGGCCGGCTCCGGGCACGGTCCATCCCCCCTGTCCGGGTCTGGCCCCGGGCATGGGCCCGGGCTGCAGTCCTACTCCCAGGGCACCAGCGGGCATTTCAGCAGCGGGTCTCTGATCAATCCGCTGGCCTTCGGGTCGACGGTCCTGGAAACCGTGACCACGTCCATCATGAGCGGCGTGACGGGCGGCTACTCGACGATGGCCGCGGCGGTCGGGGCGGTCGGCGGTGGCGGGGCTGATGCCATGTCCGAGGCGATGCGCTTTTCCTCCGGGGTGCAGCAGTGTGCCTCCTGTGCGGCGCAATCCCAGGGCCGGGCCAAGCCCGGGGACAAGGGTCCCCTGCCTGGCGGTCGTCCGGGCTCGGGCGAGTCCTCCCCCCCGCTCGGGGGGATCCCCGCCCCGAGCCAGCCCTCGCCACTGCTGAGCCGGCAGTCGGCGGCCCTGAGTCTGTCGCCGGCGTCTACCATGACCTCTGGCGCCATTGCCGGCACCGGCACCGGCGCCGGCACCACCACCGATGGGAGTGGGGCCATGGTCGCCGGGGCCGGGCCGTGCGGAGCCCCTGGTTGCATTGGTGTTGTGCCTGGTGGCCTGGTGGCCGACCCGCGGCGCTGGTACTTGGCCCTGGCAAGTCAAGTGGACTCGCTGTCGAGCGGGCGCTCCGGGCTGGAGCAAGCGGCGGCCTCCTTCTCCCCGCGGCCTCCCTTTGTGGCGGTCTTCTCGGCTCCCTTGTCGGCTGTGGCCACGGCCAATGTCCACAATCCCGATGGTGTGTCGGTCTTTCTTTGTCCCCCCCCCCCCCCCTCCATCTTTCTGTCCCTAGCTCCTTGCCATATAGCACTTGGTGCTGCCTGCACACGCCCGCCCGCCCATGCTCTGCTCCGAACTGACCAGGCCCCTCCCTTCTTCCACTTCACTGCATGTAGGTGGCCAGTCGATGTTCAGCATCTTCGCCGACTCGGCCAAGTTTTACTTGCAGTTCACCACCCGGGCCCTGATGCTGGAGATCAAGTCCATTGTGGACAGTGCCCTGGCTAGTGCCCAGCGCCCGGGCAAGGGGCTTACCCCGCAGGAGCCCTCTTCGTCGAGCGGCACCAGCCAGCAGCCCCAGTCGACACAGCAGCAGCAGCGCCTTGCTCGGCAGGTGTCGACAAATACGCTGACAGCCATCTCCTCGTCGAGTCTCAGCTCGCCAGGGCTGACAGCCTCGGTGGGGCCCACGCCGCCGGAGACGCCCGCCGGGGCCAGTACCAGTGCTCCGGGATCGGTCACCACGCCGCAGACCGCCAGCCGAGGCACTCCAAAGCCGGGGTCGGGCTCGGCGACGCCGGGCGACCCGGCCGGCCGGGCGGCCCCCACCTTCGATGTCATCTCCTACATGGCCACCGTGTCCAACACCGATGGCACACCGGAGGCCGAGGCCGACACCAAGCCGCGGGCTTCGTCGGTCACCGGGTCCGGGTCCAATCCGCTGGCCAAGCTTGGCTTCCGGCAGAACCCCCTGTCGCGCTCGTCGGCTGGCAAGGCGGCGGCGGCGGCGGCGGCGGCGGCGGCGGCTACCGGGCCCGAGGACGCGGCCCCGGGTGGCCGTGCACGGTCGGCCACATTGGACGCGGTACCGCTGCCGGGGACCAGCTCCCCGGTTGGGGCTACGGGCCCGGGCCCGGCCGGTGGCGGGAGTGCCGGGGCCTCCGGGTCCAAGACCGGTCGCGGGACGGTGGCCATCCTGGCCGAAGACCCGCGCACCGGCCTTCCTCGATTGCCGAATGTGGTTGGTTCCTTCCAGGCGATGATGGAGCGCAAGCGGACCCCAAAGACGCTGGCCGGTGCCGCGCTTCCGGCCGGGAGCACGTCCAGCATCCACCATCCCATGGAGCAGGCCACGCAAGATGTGCAAAACCGCTTGGACGACATGGCTGTGGCGATTGCCCATCGGGACTTCGTCGAGGCATACAGCCATCTGCTCAATGGTGCGCGTCACGGCGTCCCGCCTTTCCGTCCATATGCGTCTGCCTCCTCCTCTCTTTGTCTCTCTCTCCCCCCCACCCCCCCCTCTTGACCTGCTCTTTCGGCCTTCCTTTCATGAGATCTCCCTGCCCCAATCTCCCTGACAAATGCCCCCCATGCGCCCCCGCAGCTCGACAGATGATCATCGAGTTGGACGGCTCGCAGCCCCGGATAGCCAAGCGGGTGACCCTGCCAGCGAGCTCCATCAAATGCCTGCTGGCAACGCTGTCGTCTTACTCCGAGCGCCTGGTTTTGGCGCTGGCAGACTCAATCGACCGGCCGCATCTTTCTCGAACGCAGCTCCACCGCCACATTGCCCTCTTGCGGCTGCTCGGCCGGAGTGATATGGTACGGTGTTTACCTGTGCTTTTTTTTTGCCTCCCGGCGTCTCCCCTCCCTACCTCTCTCTCTCTCTCTCTCTCGCGAGTGCTGACCTGTGTCTCCGCCTGAATCAGGCGCTGGAGCGCTTCCTCTCACGACACGGATCAGTCCTGGACAAGAAGATGGCGTACGTTGGCTTGTCCTCCTCCTCCTCTGACTTCTCCATGCCCGCCAGTGGCAGCATCACTGACTCTGTGCGCCCCAGATCGGTTGTTTTTGAGCGCCATGTTACCGACTATGTGGACAACCTGGTGACCATCTTCGTCTCCGGAGTATCCATCGTGGTACAGCAGTTCATTGAGCTCTTCGTGCCACCGGTGTCGCTGGACCGAGTGCTACGGTCGGCGCCGGCCGCCGGGGCCACCGTGCGTGTGGCCGGCCCCGCGAGCGCCTCCCCCGCCGTGGGCGGGCTCTCCTCGCCTGGCCGGGGGTCTGGGGCGTCACCGCGCGCGGCAGCCGGCGACAAAGCCGCCCCACCGGGGCGCTTCTCCCCGATGGCTCTGCTGGGATCTGCGTCGACGCACCTGCTGTTGGGGCCTCAGGCCCAGCGTGCGGCCGCCGGTCTGATCGATTCCTCGCAGTCGGCTGGTGCGTGAGCCGCGCTTCCTCGTCTGCCTCACGGACCACCGGATTGCCATGCCGGCTCTGTTCGCGTCTCTTCCCGGTTCTGGCACTGACACCTCTCGCCACTTGTCCTTAGGTCTCCTTCGCTGGGTCTTGCAAATGCTGGACTCCTATATTGTGCTGTTCGTGCGGTATGTCTTCCGGGCGGCGATCAGCATCTCGGACGACAGCCCGGCCGCACGGGGGCGCTCGCTCCTGGATGAGCCGCCATCCCCGGGACTGGGGGATCTTTCGCCGGACAGCTCGGTGACCAGCTTCGACCTGGCGCGCACCGGGTCCTCCACTTCGACAACCGGCGGCCCGGGAGCCGGGCCGGTGCTCTTCTCCGAGCGGGAGGCCATTCGCACGGTGGCCGAGTGCATTCGCATTTCCACCTCACGCCTGCAGGCGCTGGAGGAGTTGCGCTTTTACATCCGCACGGATTTGCAGCAGGCGGCCGGGGCGACGCGCAGCGACGCGGCGGATGCGGCCTTCGCGTCGTCCGGGGGCCCAGGGGCGCAAGCGGGCACGGGCCCCACCGCGCCGGCCTCCGGACCCGGGGGGGACACCTTCACCGAGGTGCGTCTCGGGCTGGTGTTCGCCTCGTTGGTGCGTACGTCGCCACTGGTGCGGTCCGGCCTGGCGTCGGCCTATGACCGGTATGTGTCGCGCTCGGTGTCGCACCTGCGCGCGGCGCTGTCCGCCGTGGAGCCCCTGCCGATGCTGTCGCTGGAGCTCGCGCCGTCGGGGCCCGGGTCCGGACGTGTGTCCACCGCCCCGGGGTCCGGGGCCGATCGCCGGCCTGGCGGCGCCCTGCAAATCCACACCGGAGCCAGTACGGCCACTGGCCCTGGGGCCGACACCCTGGCGACGTCCCTGCCGGCGATTGCTGTCAAGTTCGGCGTCACCCTCGAGTCAATCGGGCACTTTTGCATCGGCCCGCCCGGCTCCGGGGATGACCTGCCGAAGGTGTGTTCCCTTGGCCTGGGTGTCCTCTGCTCGCGGCTGGAGATCCTCCTGCGAGACCTCCGTCAGCTTGACCTGAATGATGTGCGTTGCTTCCTGGCTGGGTCTCTCTACCTCGGTGTTTCTCTCTCTCTCTCTCTCTCCCCTTTCCTCTCCCCCTCCGCTCGTCGCTGTACCCCGCATTCCCTTCTTCTGGGCATGCTCGGCTGCATTTCCGCCTCTGCATGTCATCTCCTCATGCGGCGCCATATGCCGGGCCTCCGACTGACCCGTCTCCCCAATCGCTGCCTTGCCTTGTGCCCGCACAAACCCCGGCCCAATGACAACACCAACAGGTGGCCGACTCGGCCCTGCAATCACTCCTGGACTTGTGTCTGGTGTATGCCAACCACTTGCGCACTTTGATCGAGCGGTTCTTGACCGGCGGCAGTTCGGCGCTCAAGCCGGCCGCCGCACACTTCGAGCTTCCGCCCTCGGTGGTGACCCTCCTGTCGGACCTGGTGCTGATCCAAGGCCCGTTGCTGGATCGGCTGTCGCAGGACTTCGCCGGGCTGCCCTCCAGTCAGGGCCCCCCACCGGCCGTCATCCAGGCCAAGCGGCATGTCAATGGTACGCCCGGTTATTTGCCCCCTCCGGCCCGGTCCTTTGTTTGTGACAAACGTGGCCATGATTGTCTTCCGCCGTTGGCCTCCGGGTGAGCAAGGCGCTGCCCTCGCTCCCCCTCTTCCCCCTGTTGCCTGACCGCCCTGCCCCTTCCAGACATCATCAACAAGTCTGCCTCCCTGGCACTCAATAATGTCACCTCCTCCTCGTCGGCCACCTCCAACCGGGTCATGCCTCTCGGGGTGTACCTGGTGGAGCGGGCCTGGGCATACCCCCGGGGGTTGCCATATGCATCGCTTGAGGAATTCCCCGACGCCGAGAGCGTGGAACTGCCCTCTCCCGGCATGCAGTCAGTGCGTGAATGTAGCCCGCCACAGGGCCCGCCATGTTGCTGTCCTTTTGACTGTCCCTGCTGACCATGGCTTGTTTGTGCCCAAAGCTGCTTCAGTCGTTCTTCAGCACGCAGGAGCAGTTCCCACTGGCACTTCGGCGCTCAGTGGCCGAAGTGGTCGCCACTCAGATCACCAGCCTGGTGTCCATCGGTGCGCCAAAGAGGTGGCCACCAATGGCGCCCTATCACCGTCATGCAGACATCCTTTCAGGCTGGAATTGCCTGCCTTCCTTTTTTTTTTTTTGCTGACCTCTCTGCCCCCCTTCTCCCCCGTGTGCTGTTCCCCTTCGCGGCTCCAGGCACGCCAAATGTGCCCCTGCTGACCAACGTTGGCGTGCATTGCCTGAACTTGGATCTCTTGGTTCTCGAGGAGGCCTTCCGACGCCACTTTGGTGAGGAGTACCTGGCGCATAGCAAGCTTGTCGCGCGCATCGAGGCCGCGCGCATCAGCATTCTCCGGTCCAATGACCACCACAAGGTATGTGGATACACGCGTTCCCGCTGTCAATCAGTTCTGCCGGGCCGCTTGGTCACTGGCTGTTATTTGCCCTTTGCTCCCTCCCTTCTTTCCTCTCTCTCTCTCTCTCTCTCTCTCTCTCTCTCCGTGTGTGTGCATACTTGTCACGCCCCCTACTCCTACTCACATATCCGTTTCTTCCCCTCCCGCCCCTCCAACGGACGCATCGCACAGATCCAGAGCGACCGGTGGTTCGTCCGGAAGGCGGCCGCCTCGCTCGACGAGCTGGCCATTATTCCTCCCTCTGCCGTGCATCCATCCTACATGGCTGGCAAGTAACACGCCCCCCCCCCCCCCCCACACTGCGTCCCGCCCCTTCCCACAGGGCCGGGGGAGGGGGGAATTCAAGTAGATGCAAGGGCAAATATACATCCCCCGAAGGTTTCCCATGAGTGGGTTGGTTTATGCTCTAGGCACACATGCGCCCTGCCTTGTTGCCAGGGGGAGGAGTTTCGAGGCCAGGAGCTGCGGCGCCGTGGCCGCCTCCGCCCGCCCCCACCTGCGTACACACCGAACCCCATGCATCCCAACGCTCGATCATTTCGCGGGTCGTCATTGCGAGAAATTCCCCGAACTCGAGTGCCATCGGATAGTATGCCAACGTATGCGCGTCCCGGCGCCCCCACACGCCCCTGGGCGTGGTGTGTGGCGGGCTTTTCTCAGGCCGCAGGGGTCCCTGTGCCCAAGCCCCGGCCGGGCTAGCGGTCTCCGCTAGCAGCGGCCGTGTGTGTGTGTGTGTGTGTGTGTGTGTGTGTGTGTGTGTGTGTGTGAGTGCGTGAGCTCTGGCAAGCGCGCGCGCGCACGTACCCGCGCGGAGGCGCCGGCGGCTGGGGGGGCAGGGGGCCGAAAGGGGGTCGGCCTCCGGGTGTGTCTGGGTGTGTTTTCCTCTGGGGGGAGGG